AGGACAGGCTCCAAAGCTACACAGAGAAACCCTGTCTCGGGAAAAAAAAAAAAGTAAATTCTGTGTTTCAAAAAAGGGGGGAGGTGAATACTCCCTTGAATCACTTTGTTCCTAGGTTTCCATAATTCCTTACTCTCCTTAGGCTTTTCAAAACTTCCTCTACTAGCCTCTCTTTCTTAGGCAATCCCCCTTTCAGATGTTCTTGCTTCAAGTTCTAGTATTAACCCCTTTCTAGTCTATAATTACATATTCATTATATGTAGAAAGTGTGTTTCTAGTTCAAGACTTGAATTTTTTAAGATTTTTTTGTTTTATTCTGCCTGTCTCTGTGTTTCATCTGTCTCTCTACTCTGTCTCTGTGTGTCTATGTGTGTGTATGTTTTCGAAAGCCCATAGAGACCAGAAGAGGGCAGCAGATCCCCTCAAACTGGAGTTCGAGGCAGTGTAAGCCTCCTGATGTTGATGCCAGAAACAAAACTGGGGTCTTCTGGAAAAGCATCAGGCACTGCTAACCTCTGAATCCTCTCTCAAACCCTAGCCAATGGCACTTTAAATGGTACCTATATGCCAGTAATTACTAAATACTGACCCTTCTGGAGTATTCAAGATTTGTCTAATATTTCCACTAGATAGCTCTGATGTTTCTAACATTATACATGACCAACAGTACTTCAAATTCAGTTTCTTCAGGATGGAGACTTAGTGGTAGACTGACTAGCATGTATCAAATCTTGAGTTCTGTCCCTGTATTAGTTACTTTTCTATTGCAGTGATAAAACACCAAGACTAAGGCAACCTACAGAAGGAAAATGTTACCTGGGCTTACAGTTCCAGAGGGATAAGAATACAACATGGCCAGGAAGTGGAAAGCATGGTGGCTAGGCAGCAAGCTGAGAGCTCACATCTTGAAGAGAATGTAAACTAGAAATGGTGCAAGTCTTTAAACTTCCAAAGCCCGTCTCCAATGGCACACTTCTTCCAGTAAGACCACACCTTTTAAGCTTCCCCAGTGCCACCAACTTGGAAGCAAGCATTCAAATGCCCCAGAGCATGGAGGATATGTCTCATTCAAACTGTCACAACCCCCAAAACAGAGAAAGAAATCAAAATTCACATTCTCCTCTTATTCTTATCTCCAGCAAGTCCTTTTTTGGCGTCTGTGACTCTTCAGAAGTCTGTGGCCTATAAGCAATATTAAGGATACTCATATTTGCTTCAAAGCTGATATAATATCCACTAAAATCAGTAATCTATAAAAGCAATAAATTCTGGGCCAGCAAGATAGTTCAACGAGGAAAGGCATTTGCCACCAAGCCTGACAACCAAAGTTCAATCTTTGTGCCCCAAATGATAGAACCAACTTCCACACATGTGCAGTGGTACATGTACACACATACACATACACACACACACACACACACACACACACACAATAAATAAATGAATGAATGAATGTAATAAAGTTTAAGACAAAATCAGTAACTCCTGTAGATATAAGGCTACTACAGGCTTCAATGACTTAACAAGGGAAAATTCTTATAAGGCTATTGTCAGATACTGCCACCAGAGCCACATCAGGGGTTCAATAGTAGTATCAGATTTAGTTCCATTAAAGGCTAATGTATTTCCTTCACAAAGTAGCCACTGTATTTATCAAAATACTTGGATTTTCTAATAGTCTTCTAAATTAACTTTATCCTCTCACAACAGAATCACTTTTCTAGCTACCTTGTAAAAGTCACAGCATGGGACAGAGCATGAAGACACAGCAAGAAGCTCCATGCCCAAAGAGACATAGAAAAACAAGTATCCCCTAAGCCCAACTCATTCTAAACTCTTAATCAAATGAAATCAATCCTTTAATAGTAATCAAGACAAAAGGAGTTTTCAACCAGCCAAAAATAGAAGCTTCTTCCTAAGATAATCTCTAACATACTCTTAATTTCTTAAATTGCTGATTAATAATATAGTTCCCTTATAAAAATTTCAAAATTAAGTAATCAAATTTAAAATGATCTCATTTTCTTATATTCCGCCCAGCCCTTCTTCCCCACTGCAAATCTCCTTTATCTGCCCTGTGATCCCATTATCTTGTGTCTCCAGCCAACTCTCCTCCCTCCCATGCAGCTATTCATTTCTACTACAGTTCAGGAGGGCTTTGTAGCAGGCCAACACTGTCCCCTACTGTTCACACCCTTTACTATTTCTCTCCCCGCCCCCTCTGGTTTTTCCTTCTTTTTCTTCCTTTCTCTTTTCTCATACCTACTCCACTATTGTTATCATCTCCAGAAACCCAGAGACAGACCTGGTTTATGATTTCCAGGTACATTTCTCTACCTCCTCTTTATAGTCTACCATTAACCAAAACTCCTACATCTACACCTCATTTTTTCTTTGCCTCAATTATTCCCACCCTTATGTATGTCCCTCTCCTCTACCTCATATCCACCAATCTAATATTTATCACCAGCCTCACATGATTGTTTACCTCTTCTTTTCCATTGCATTCATTCTAAAGCATTAATATAAACAGTACCATCAGGGTCCCTTTATTCCCTAATCAATACTTTTATAGTCACCTGCTACTCTACTATCAGAGTGGGTTAACTACTAGATAGTGGCTGTTGCTACAGAACCCACAGGGGCAGACTGAATTAGAACCTGGTGACTGTCTAACAGACAAAAACATCACCCAAACTATACTACAACCTGGTCTCTCCTGAAAACTGCAAACATGTACACTCTGAAAGAAGAGGGACAACCTAAATTAAAAAACAAAAACAGGTCAGGCGGTGGTGGTGCACGCCTTTAATCCCAGCACTTGGGAGGCAGAGGCAGGCAGATCTTTGTGAGTTCGAGGTCAGCCTGGTCTACAGAGCGAGATCCAGGAAAGGTGCAAAGCTACAGAGAAACCCTGTCTCGAAAAAAAATAAAAAATCTTAATCAGTGACCTAACCGCAGCGAGGCAAAACCCCAGCTTGACCCAAAGAGTACATAAACAGCTAAATAGGGAGTCAATCCACATTATATGAAAATATAATAAAGATAAATACTGATGAAAACCCATTTTTGATGATAGAAACAAAAAAATACAATAGGTTAATGTTATCAGGCATTTTCTTTTGAGCTACCAACCAGCTCCCAAATAATGACATGGAGACTTCTTATTAGTTATAAATGCCTGGCCTAGCTTAGGCTCATTACTGGCTAGCTCTTTTAACTTAACCTATTTCTCTTATCTACCTTTTGCCTCAAGGCTTTTTACTTTTCTTTATTTTTATATATCTTACTTTCACTGCTTCTCATGTCTGTCTGTCTGTCTGGTGGCTGCCTGGCTTCTTTCTTGCCCCAGGAGTATCTATCTCTCTCTTTCTTCCTCATTCTCTTCTCCTTCTTGTCCTCTCATTCTCTTATTCTCTCTGCCCTCCAGCCCTGCCTATCCCTCTCCTGCCTAGCTATTGGCTGTTCAGCTTTTTATACACCAATCAGGTGCCTTAGATAGGCAAGGTGAAACAAATGCAACACATCTTTACAGAATTAAGCAAATGCAGCAGAAACAAATGTAACACATCATTACATTGTTAACAAAGGCAACACAAATGAATATAACACACCTTTACATAGTTAAATATTCCACAGCATAAACAAATGTATATCTTTGCCTAGTTAAAATAATATTCCACAACAGGTTAAACAAAAACCCTACTCATAGAATAGATCTGTACAAGATAGAAGATATGGATGTAAAGACAAAAGAGAGTAGTTAGATCATTCAGTCAAGGTCAATGATAATTTCTTTTAATATATGAATAGAACATGCAAGACATCTGGGACTCCAAGAAAAGGCAAAATCTACATATCATAGGCATACAGGAAGACGAAGAATTTCATGCAAAAGGTATAGAAAATATAACAGAAGAAAATTTCCCAAACTTAAAGAAAGAGTAACTCATACAGATACACAAGATATACGGAACCAAGAGAGGACGAGAATGAACCATCACTAAAAGCAACTTTGGAAGAAAAGATTTATTTCACCTTACAGCTTGTAGTCCATCATGAAGGGAAACTGAGGTGGGAACTCAAGGTAGGAACCTGGAGTCAGGAACTGAAGCACAGACCATGGAAGAGTGCTGCTTATTGGCTTGCACAGCCTGCTTTCTTATACCACCCAAGACCATATGCCCAGGGGTGGCACTGCCCTCAGTGAGCTGGGCCCTCCCAGATCAATCATTAATCAAGAAAATTCCCCCACAGACTTGCCTACAAGCAATCTGATGGAAGCACTCTCTCAGTTGAAGTTCCTTTTCCCAGTGCCTCTAACTTGTATCAAGTTGACAAAAAAACTAACCAGGACAATCATTATGGAAACAAGATGCAAAACCAAAAATCCCACAAAATTCCATTCATTTACCATTACTTTGTGTCATATATTACTTCCTCCTATCTATTATTATTGTAGAAATGTCTATTCTTCCTAAAGTTCAACACTCCATTTACCCAATAAATTCTATTATAAAACATTCTATAAAAAAAGTTTGCCTCTGCTAACCTACTTCCCTCTCTAGTAGCTACCCCATTTATCTTCTTCCTTTAAAGTATGACTTCTTGAGCTTTTTACACTTAATAGCAAAAGTTGCCTCCATTTCTTTCCCATCATCCTCTCCTTAAATTCTGCCAATCACCAAAATTACTTGAAAAATTACCAATGATCTCCCACCAATTTCATTTTACCTGAGAAACATTACTTAATTTATCATTCCCTTCTCTCAAAATTATAATCAAAGACCCTCAAAGAATCAATGAGAAAGATTTATTTGCACCCAAAATATTTTAATAGCAAAGAATAAATTATAAATCTCAATAATGCATTTCTAATAGTCAAAAGCTCAAGTTAAAAAACCTAGAACTTTAATATCTATTGCAAGTAAAAGCAACAAAATGTAATTATATGAATATAATTAAAAAATTCAGATAACATATACTTATTTTATATTTAGGCCAAAATATAGTAACATGAACACAAATTATTTATGCAAGTAATTTTAAAGTCTAAATTCCTGGGTAAAGTTTGGTTCTCTGGGAAATAATAAAAAAGTTAACATTTAATATTATTAGTCTCTATAATCAACATTGATTTCCTGAAATTAAGTAAATAACTTTTCTGCTTCCTTTAGTCTTCTTTTTCTATCAATTTTAGCAATTGTTGACCAACGGTCCTCTCTCATTTTTCTCGCACTTCCAAACTTCACAGAAGATGCAGGAGTTGATAGAGATAAAGGAGTCTAAATACAAAGTAAAGTAAAACAGTATCTTAATATTTTTAAAAAAGGAAATTGGCTTTCAAATTTTGCTTTCTAAAATAAAATTTAAAAGCTACCTGTTTTGGTGTTTTGACCAATAGATGAGAATTTGGTGAATTATTACTGTAAAATCTGTTTGATGTCTCTTCCTCTGAAACCATGCTCTTGAAGAAAAACACAAAAATACAATGTTACAGTTATCATCAATATTATGTTATTAAAAGTTCTCAACATATCACCTATAAGGAGAATTAAAAGTAGAGCAAGTAGAAGAACAGAAGAGGGGGAGCAAAAAGAAAGAGAGAGAGGGAGAGAGGGAGGGGAGGAGGGAGGGAGGGAGGGAGGGAGGGAGGGAGAGGGAGGGAGAGGGAGGGGGAGAGAGAGAGAGAGAGAGAGCAAGAAGAAAAGTTAAAAAAAGGAAAATAGGGCTTATAACATTTGCACTCTGAGGTTGGAAAGCAAAGTACTTATTGTGCACAACACAAGTGCGGCTGTCTGCTATAGGTCTGTGGGTCATGTGGCGTGTAACATTAGTCACTACCATTTAAGGCTAAACTTGACCAAAAATCAATTGCCAGTCACTATTTCCTTTGGAAAATATAGGAATTCAAATAAGATTGCAGAATTCCAAAACAGTTATTTCATTTCATTTCTGCCAGCATAATTACTGCCTAGGAAACAGAGAAGTTCCTGGTACATTCCACTATATGATGTTCTCAAGGTCACACATGTAATTTTATTTATTTTAATTTTGCCTAGTTTTGCAGTGCTGGGCATTAAAGCCAGGGCACCAATACTAGACAAATACTACCACTGAGCTATAACCTTACCCATACAATTCTCCTTTTAAAAAATGAAAATGAGTAATTTAAAGTAATTTTGAGTATCACAATGACTAAGACATTGGCCAAGATCACTCTGCTAGAAATATAGCAGAGATTAAAACATTGGAATGTTTATCTCCAAAGTCCAGACTATTTCTAGCCACTCTTATTACATTTGTATGTATCTGGACTACATTTTCCACTGGAAGCTATTACATACAATGACCTTCATAGATATGGTATCAAGCTGTATTCAAATTTTGGCTTCATGTTTTACTGTATTATCTTATAAAAGGAACTTGTATAGCTTAGTTTCCTCAACTGTAAAATGAAAATAACATTCTCTATACTTTTATAGAATGAAATTGTTATAATAATTCAACTAATCTATGGAAAATGTTTTAAATAGGTTCTAGTTCACAATTTTAATGAGATGTTAATCATTATCTATGGGATTCTCGAGTAGGGACTCCATACGTTAACTTCAATAACAGGGTTCTAATGTTCAACTACTCAGTATTCCAAAACAACAAATTAGAGGCTCCTAAGCAATAAAAAGCTTTAAATATCTTATAGTTTTAAGTGGTAATAATGAAACAACAAGGCATAGGCAGGCGGGTCTCTGTGAGTTCAAGGCTAGCCTGATCTACACAGTGAGTTCCAGGACAGCTAGACAGCTAGAACTATGTAGAGAGAGTCTGTCTCAAAAAAGAAAAGAGAAAAAAGAAAGGAGAAAAGAAAAAGGAAATGAAATGAAATCAAATAATGGAACAATTGACTTTAACTAGAATTTTGTCGCTAAGATAAATAAGGTTTATTGCTCAATTTAGTGTAGTTCTCTTAAATTATTCTACGTTATTATTTAACCTTTATCATCCTTTAAGAAAGTGGTATAGAAATGTAGAATATAGATATGATAGGGTAAAAGGGTAGATTAATGAACCTACTTTTAAAGAGCAACAACTTGTTTAAAAATGTTTTATATTGCTATAGATTTTAGTTATTGATACAAATTTAAAGTTTAAAGTTAATTTTGTTATACTATATATATATATATATATATATTTCTACTCTTGTTTAAGGTATTATGTTTATAGAACTCATTTAAATTGCAATAGGTAATTAAGGAATACAGATTAATAATTAGTCTTCTATGATAGTCAAACTTATAGTCGTATTAATTTTTCTAGGTATACATAGATATATTTCAGATAGATAATCTTCAAACACTTCAAAGACCTACAGAATATGGCATTTAAAATATTTTAAAAACTTAGGACTTTCTGGACAGTGAGAAATGTCTGCTCCTGGCAACACCGATTTACTTCAAAGAGAAAGACGGGCGTCAAAGACACTCCATATGGAGTTTATCTTCTTCTTGGCAAAAATAGCCATTTTGGCAAGAAACTGTTCTTGCCTGGACTGCTTGACAAAATGTTGTATTGACTGGACATGCAGGATCCACAGGAAGGTGACCACTGAACTTTGCAAGGTGAGATAGTCCTTCAGGTTCCTGCTTCACAGAAGAAACTGCCAGACATTCTACAGGACACAGAGAGGAGTGACTGAGAGACTCTAGGCCTGTGGGCTGAAGATGGATGCCCAACTTTGCAGAGGAACTTTGGATGACTGTCCAGGCAGCCAGCTGTCTCTGTCATTCTAGATTTTTGGAAGTTGCTTACAATGCTCTTCCTGTTTACTTAGGTAATATTATGTCCTTCTGGGGTCTTTGATGTAGTTGAAGACTAGATAGTTATAATTTTCCTTAGTTATGATAAAAGATAAATTAGATATAAAACTGTAGACTCACAAATATAGGAGAGATAGAATATTTTCTCTAATTTTGCCAAATACAAATAGACTAGATATTATAACTGTAATTCTTGCTTGATTACTGTTTTGTTATATGTAATTTTACTGTGTTAAAGTTAAACCCTTCCTTTTTGATTAGACAGAAAGCGGGATCTGCTGTGGGATGTTCTGTATGCTGTGAATATGTGCTGCTCTGATCGGTTGATAAATAAAAAGCTGATTGGCCAGTAGCCAGGCAGGAAGTATAGGCAGGATAAACAGACAAGGAGAATTCTGGGAAGTGGAAGGCTGAGTCAGGAGATGCCAGCCCGCCGTCCAGGGAGCAGCATGTAATGGCACACAGGTAAAGCCATGAAAAGCATGGCAACATACAGATGAACAGAAATGGGCTGAGTTTAAGTGTAAGAGCCAGTCAGTGGTAGGCCTGAGCTAATGGCCAAGCAGTTTTAATTAATATAAGCCTCTATGTGTTTACTTGGGTCCAAGCAGTTGCAGGACTGGCAGGTGAGAGAGATGTGTCCTGACCACGGGTCAGGTGGGACACAGAAAAAATTTAGCTACAAGAAAGTATTGGTATGTGTAAATTGGAATAAACATTCCTATAAAACAGTAGAAGTAGGTTCCTTAAAAATGCTATCCTTAAAACATTACCCCTTCAGAGTGACAGAATGATAGTTGTCAATCAATATTGTAATATAAATGTTAATCAGTAGTGGTATAAAATAAAGCAACAAATATGCAAAAAAAAATGAGACCCTTAATAACAGATTTGGCTGTGAAACTATTAAAATATCAATCCCACTTTTATGGGTTTTTTTGATTTTTTGTTTGTTTTTGTTTTTACCATTTTTGTTTTTAAATGTAGAAAACCTTCATAATATTTCTCTGGAAAACAAGACAATAACGATTAGTCATCTCATATGCCAAATATATGAGATGGTATGCTTTTAAGTATCATGTTTTCAAAAATTTAGAGGAAAACTGTTTGAACCTTAATTTCTGTAAAATGACATGAAAACATGATTCTATGTTGTGACAGTTGTGCTATATTTATCACAATTGTAAATAACTATGTACATATGCTACATATTTATATCAAGTAATAACACAAATAATGATAAGAGCAAGTAAAAATGCTGATTCTTCATAATATTTTTACCAAGAGATCAGTAGCTTCTGAACTATCTGAATTAACATCAAATTCAAGGACTGTTTTTTTCTTTTTATTACTTCCTCCAGTGGGTATGTATTTGTTTTCTCTTTGATGTATTTTCATTTTAGTTGGTGTCTTCACTGTATATTCCTGTACAAAAATAAAAAACCATACATAATGATTAATGTGGTAGGATACACCAATAATGCTAATCCCACCAAGGGGTTTCTTATGTGCCCATGTAAAATATATGACAGGGAGAAGTTTCTAGTACAAGAATTGTCATCAGCAATAACTTGTATTTTTTTCAAACTGTGAAAATGTCCATTAGTGTAAATAATGTTCTTAAAGTTTTCTAAAAGTTAATCTTCTGATAAAGTGTTTTACTGATAATTCAAAAGTTGTAAAGTTGCTTATGTATAGACTCTTTACTACTACTGGTTGGTTGATTTTGGAAGAACTGCCAGAGGAAGCAAAACTTGAAATAAGCAAACATCTTAGGAGTAAGATGCAATTTGACCCAAGTCATTGCTTCAACACTGTCATCAGTCAATTTTTTACAGATGAACATAAAGACATACATATCTGATGGGTGATGTTCTGTATGCTGTTAATATGTGTTGCTCTGATTGGTTGATAAATAAAGCTGTTGGGCCAATGGTGAGGCAGAATAAGGTCAGGCAGGACATTCCAACTAGAGAGAGAGGAAGGAGAAAGACAGAGCAGAGGAGAAGCTGCAAGCTGCCGCCATAAGAAGCAAGATGTAAAGTACTGGTAAGCCACAAGACAAAGTATAGATTTATAGAAATGGGTTTATTTAAGATGTAAGAGCTAGCTAGCAAGAAGCTTGAGCCATTAGGCCATATACTTTGAAAATAATATAAGTCTCTGAAAGATTATTTTAAAAGTGGCTGCAAGACCACGGTGTCACAGTATGGTGATATTTTATTTGTATTAAAATATTATTTGTATGTTAATAAATAAAGTTGCCCGGGGGTCAGAGCTATTAGCAAGCCATAGGAAAGCAGGGCAGTGGTAGCGTACGCTTGTAATTCCAGCACTTGGTAGGCAGAGCTGGGAAAGTCTCTGTGTGTTCAGGGATACAGCCATTATTGGATACACATGCTTTTAATCTTAATACCAATCATGGAAAACCTGGAGGCCTATACAGACAGGCTGTGAGGAGGCGGTCATGTGGTTGGGTTTACAACCAATGAGAAGGCAGGACAGGAACTCTATATAAAGACTTTAACACAGGGGTAGCTCTGGTTCGGAGAGGTAGGACCACCGCAGGAGGAAGGGTAAGGTTTTAGCTCTTAGCTCTGACCCCCGGGCAACTTTATTTATTAACATACAAATAATATTTTAATACAAATAAAATATCACCATATCACAGGAGCCAGGCAGGACCAGAAAAAACTTACAACTACACATATCTGATGGTACACATCCTAATTTGCTGGATAGATCACTATGAAGTGTCAAAGCTAAAATAACCCTAATTTATCATGGCTCCTCCAGTATACTTCATAATGTTCCCATACATAGACAATGCAGTATTATATATATTTTTACTGCCTTACAATATTTTTGACATGCTATTAAATGAATTGTTCTTGTCAGGATGAAATGATGCTTGTTAAAAGAAAACATGAAATAATTTACACTCATTAAATAGTTACATGGGGGAGTAACCTTAACAATAATTGAACTCTGGACTACTTTCACTCATGTAGCCCACTGTCAGTCGTGACAATGTATCCCTCTATAACTTGCAAGATCACTTTTCTCTAAACAAGATTACCTTGCTTGTTTTGTAAATCTGTATGAGAACTTATTTTAAATTCTTTGTATAAGAGGCTAAGAACCTGGAAACATCTGGCCCAGATCCCAAACACCAGTAACAGTATCCTTCACAAATGAAAGAGAACTTAATATATAATGTATTAATGCAATGTATTAATAACTAATATATAGTATCATATGATAAATACATAATTTCTAGATAAAGAACTTCACTCATAGATTTCTCATACAAGAAATACTAAAGTGAGACCCTTCAGTCTAAAATGAAAGGATGCTAGCTTCAAATCCCCAAGAAGAAATTCAAGGTGCTGGGATGAAGACAACTGCATAGGAAACAAAAAAGAGAGTATCTATTTGTAACTTATTTTGACTACTATCTGATTTTAAACACAAATACATAAAGCAACAATTGTAATGAAATATAATGCCTAAACTATATTAACACATGGTTTACCTAAAATAAAAAATGACACAATAAAAGAGAAGAAAGGGACTAAACCTATAATAAAGCAAATGTTTTCAACACTGTTGAAATTACATTAACACTAATTCAAATTAAATAATTTTAACATAAGGTGTTATAATTGTCAACGTACCATCAAGCAATGACTCTAAAAACAGAAAGGAAAAAAAAAACCTCAAAATTAAGATTTCACTCTAAAAAGTATCTACTTAACCTAAAAGGAGAGATACAAGAAAAGAAAATAGATGTAAGATTTAGCATAAGCAACAAAATGATGGAAGTACATTCTACCATCTAATTTAATTCTAATTCAATGTCTATCACCTAATCAAAGGACAAAGACTAAATTATGTGGAAAAGATAGGGATTATATGTTGTTCACAAAAGACAAACTTTAGGTCTAATAGCAGAGATTAACAGTAAAAAGGCAGAAAGTGATGAATCATATTAAAGAAAGTAGGTTTGAAATAGCTCATTCTTATTGAACAAAATGAGATAAAGAATGGCATTTTAAGATTTCAGCCTATCAAAATATATTATAAGCAGAAAAGCAGACTCCCAAAACATATGCGTGAATAACCAAGAAAAATAATGAATTCAGAACCCGACTTTTACCAATTAGTAGAACAACTAAACAGACACTAAGGAAACACAATGTTTTAAAGATTCTGTAATGCAACCAAATGGATATTAGGGAAATTCATAGCACATTAATAAATACCTAATGAGTTAAGAAGAGTTACAAGAGCCAGGCATGGTGGCACACACCTTCAATACCAGCACTCAGGAAGCAGAGGTAGGCAGATCTGAGTTTGAGGTTAACCTGGTCAATGGAGCAAGTCCCAGGACAGCCAGGGCTATACAGAGAAACCCTGTCTCAAAAAACCAAAAATTAAAATTTAAAAAAAGAAGAGTTAAAGGAAGCTTAAAAATCAATATATGACAAAATCTATAGTATATAGTAAAAATCAATGCTTGGAGAAAAGCTGTAGTTACAAATGCCTCCATTAAAAATTAAGATCAAGAAGCCAGGCATGATGGCTCATAACTATACTCCCAGCACTCAGGAATTTTAAGACCAGCACAGGTTACATATCAAGTACCAGGCTAGTCTTGGCTACAATAAAAAACTCTGTCTCAAAAAAACATGGCAAAGAATAAAGCTATATGACAATTTAATACAACTGGTAATTTCTTGTATCTTAAATAGAAAAAGATGAAAAAACTATAAAATCCATGTAAAAGCTCAAATTTAGTAAGAAATATACTAATGTAAGCTTTTTTGGTTTTTACATATGTATCATGGTGTGGGGAAACCAAGTGAAAGATATACAGAATTTCTATATATTACCTTAGCAAGTTTCTGAAAATACAAAATCAATCGCAGTTATTTTAAAAAAATAAACCAGATAACCACACCCACTAGAATGACTAAAATGAAAAGGCTAAGAATATAGTGCCATTAGAATATTCATTGATTCTAGGTATAATGGGAATTCTTTAAATTGACTTAATTACTAAAAAAATGAGTGGCACCAGGTAGTGGTGGCGCATGCCTTTAATCCCAGCACTCAGGAGACAGAGGCAGGGGGATCTCTGTGAGTTTGAGGCCAGCCTGGGCTACAGAGTAAGTTCCAGGAAAGGCGCAAAGCTACACAGAGAAACTCTGTCTTGAAAAACCAAAAAAAAAAAAAAAAAAGAGTGGCAGTATATACTAAAATACATATCTCTACAATCTAGCAATTTCATTCCTTTGTACATACATAACTAAAGTGTGTATGTCAGATACTAGAACTTTTATACTTTCATAGAAGTCTACCCCGAAAACTATCCAAATATTTATTAATAACACAATTGATCAAAAAACTGTAACACAATCACACACTAGTATATTATATATAAGTAAAAATGGTCTATAACTTTAAACTACAACATAGGTGAACCTAATAAACATAATATTCAATAAAAGAAATCCAGATAAAAAGAGTATGTGCTACATGAGGAGTTGAGATTAATAATTAATCTTGGAAGGACTAATGATTGGAGCTTTTCTGAAATAACAGTAAAACTCTATTTTAATCTGAGTCTTGGTTATAAAGTTGTGTTTGGTTTAATTTAAAGTGAATAATTAAGATCAGTAATTTTTTCTTAGAAATATTTCAATTAAGTTTTTAAAGTGGAGTTATTCTTTAATATTGCTTCACATTCTTAACAATGTGGTTATGAATGTTTTAACATAAAAGTTTTTCTAAGCTATATAGTTATACTGGCTAATTAGTTGCCAACTTGACACAAGAGAGAGTCATCTAGAAAGAGGGAACCTCAACTGAGAAAATGCCTACATAAGACTGGACTATAGGCAAGTCTGTGCAGCAATTTCTTGGTTGATGTGAGAAAACTCAGTCCACCCTGGGTAGTTGGGCCTGAGCTGTATAAGAAAGCAGGATATGCAAACCAGTAATCAGCATTCCTCCATGGCCTCTGCTTTAGTTCCTGCCTTGAGTTCCTGCCCTGACTTCCCTCCATAATGGACTTCATCACAACAACAGAAAGAACACTAGAGCTAAAGTTGACTAATCTTCAAAAGTTGAATAATATTGTGTGTATTTATCAGATTAGGACTGAGGAATTTTTTTCTTGCTTGCTGGAGTGGTCAACAAGAACACAAAACCCACATCATAAAGAATATGAAATATGTATGTGAGGCCAAATCCATCTCTGAGTCTTATTTAAAAGTGAAAGAACTGGCTCTATGATTAATATATACTTATAACCATTTATTTCCAGGAAACAAAGAAAATAAGACACAAATTTTCAATTTAAAAGAATGGAAACAGGTTCAGATACTTTTCACCTCAACATGCGAAAAGAAGTGTCTTTG